TTAAGTCACTGGAAATAGGGTATTTCTCAAAAAATTTATGAGAGATATTTGTGGAGAACACTGTCCTTACAATAGTGTACCTTTATTTAAGAAGCTCAATATTTTATTTCTTCGTTAACAAAAACATAAATGTTTTTAATTCAACGGGAATGGACAACTGCCAAAGTAGACATGGGGAGAAATTGGTTATGCCAAATTTAATCTGGAATTCTACAGGAACAACACTTTTTGTATAGCAATCAAGATTTATATTTCCGAAAAACATTCAAAGATCTTCCCACTAGAGCTTTTAAAATCGATAAAATACTAGTTTGGAAAAAGAAATATTATTCTGTTATTTTTTAATAATGTGATGACGTAACAACAATTGACTATAATTATATGATTGATATGTAATAATTCTCCCTTTGAATTATGTAGGACAAATTAGTACGCAATTATGCGTGGTAGAATATGCGAAACTCAGATTGTACCACAATATTATTGGACCTGCACCATATTCTTGAAAATAATTTATTATTATACACGTACAATAATTATTATTATATTGTCAATCAAATAAGAAAAATACGTTAGACGATGTTTTCCAGACTCGGTATGTTAAAAGCCTGTGATTTTCCAGACGTGAAAAGGATCCAATTATAATAATAATCAATGCCGAAATGAAAACTCACAAAAAATAATTATAACATAGATAATGTTTAAATAGCGGTTCTGTGCTGCGCTGTGTGGTCTACACAGCGCCAATACCACAGAGTACCTATTATAATTGTATTTGCTATTAATAAAAACATAATATGCTTATTTGTATGTAAAATACTTAAACATTCATTATTTATATGAGTAAGAGCGTCAATATTATATTACTTTATTTTCAATACTTCCATAAAGGAAACTGAATAATAAGAATATTAGATATATACACTAACGCAATTTACGGTTCTTTCTTTGTACTAGATATACGAATACGTACGAATAGGAATAGGATTACGAAACAGTGTTTCCTTGGAATGACAAACAAACGAAAAACGATTCATTCTCACTCCCCGGTCTACCGTAATGAGAATGATTGCATTTTGCGTATTTGGTTGGCACAAACACTGAATTGTGCACCATTCCCAGGCAGAGATATGGGACTTTCCTAGGCTTTGTGAAAAGAGCGATTTTGACTCCTCGTTCTACGCTTTAATATTTGAGGCGTTGTGTGATTCTCATAATGTAAATGCGCGCGCAGGATTTTCAGGGCGCAGGACGCACCCTATCGAGGCCTTACGAAACTGTAGATGTTCCATTTTATATAAAAAAATATATTGGTAAACATATGGTTTGCCATTTGGAATAAATATGCTGTACTCAAGTATACACTACTTAGCGGATATCTCATTAGCTATAAAAATAATATTAGTAATTGAAATACTAATTATGAAAAGATATATTATATTCAATGTGCGTCTATAATAACTTTATTGACTATGGCTAATTTGTATAAAATATTCATGTCTTTACGTACTTTGTACACTTAGAAATTGGTTGAGTTTTTAGACTATGCAAGTCAGGTGATTAATTTCCGTATTAAGCGACTAATTAATCGTTTAAATAGTTATAATTTTCATTAAAAACCTCGATTTTAAGATTATATATCCGGGTGCAAATTTCAAGCTATTAAATTAATCGTATTCTTTTATTTGAAAATTTTTCTAAGACATTTTATTGTCAAAAACAAGTTATAAAAAAAATAAAAAGCTTTGTATTTTTCCAAGCCTTAAAAATAGTTACAGTTGTTAGAATTTTTTGTTTATGTTGGAATTGTATTTAGTTGATAATAATAAATCAAAACTATAATTCGTTTACGACAGCAGTACAAAACAACACGTACCTTATATTTAAAAAACAACTAATTACCTTAACAATAAATTTATTATAGGGTTTTTATCAAACTGCCGTGTCTATATTTTCGCAACTCTATCCATACTTCAGTCGCCAATAGAGCCCGTACCATATACCAGATCAGGCTTTGCCGGCTTCTTTGGACGTTGTATTAACTCTTGGATACCCTAATATACTAGTGTTAGTCTTTTGCTGTATCTCAGGTAAGTTATAGGTATAATAGATCAAGTACACAGCTTTTGCTTCCGTAGAATGTTCTAGGCACATTCCATCCAACAATATAATTAATATTGATCCACACTTGATCATGGCAATTATAAAAGTGCACCTTATATCAATATAAATTTATCGTTATCGATTAGTGATACTAAAAAATATCAATGATGTTTATAATTTTGTTATATTTCTGTTGATATCTTTTATTGATCGACTCGTCACAGATAAATGTAAGACGAACTGTTGCCAGGCCACAGACACACAGAGGACTTCATACTTTAGTACTACTAACAATTATTATTTTATATTCCAAGCCAAATATTCTTAAAACCAAACGTAAATTATTACCCTACAAAGGTAGTAATTGAGAAGAATTGGTTGTGGTATTACTGTTGGGGTCCTGTCCTTCTAATTTATTGCTTATTAGTATGACTAGGAAGAGTATCCCTGGGATAGGAAGTACCTGCGACAAGATAGAGAATTGAAACCCCACTTATCTCCATCCATAGGATTTCCCAGACATTCAAAAGATCTATACACCAGTATTGTCTTTTTTTTGTAAATAATACATAACTTAAATCCGGTAAAAAAGTGTTTTTCTACCTATACACTATCTCTATTCATTTAATTCAAGTAATTCGGAATATCGACTTTTGATATCAAATTGATAGTATCATCATAAAATATCATAATTTCTACCTATAAAGAAATAAACGTGAGTTATAAAATCGTGTCAATTTTGATTTCTTTGATGTCGAGACTGATAGGAAGAAATTATTTTATGATGATACTATCAATCTGATATCAAAAGTACATGTTCGGAATTACTTGAATTAAAAGAATAGAGATAGTGACGTATGTCTTTTGTATGTCTGGAAAATCCTATGGATCAGTATAAGTGGGGTTTTAATTGCTTCCGTCAACTCCACTTAAACTAATACACGTTCATTATTAATTATTACAAAAGCCGAGGTACTCTAAAGTTAATGTCTAAAACATTTATTTGTCACAAATGTGTCATCAAAGGCATTTTTTATACATCTTAGGCATTCATTGAAAAAATTAAAACAAAATTCGGTATTTGGCAGCCCCATGCGCTCAATATGCATAATACTTTATATAAGAACAGGAAAATTTATAGTGATTATAATTTGAAAAATCTTATGTCCCGCCGAAAACTTTGATCTTACAACAAAAAATTTCGAAATTTTCCACGGTACCAAAGTATTTATAGTATATAATATTTCTTAACGAAACATTGATGTTTTTATACTTTAACTTCGAGTTTCGAGGACATTCAATTTGGGAATGAGTCAACATTACTCCATTACTAGAATTGATAAATTGGGTGAAGTCACACTACCCACGAAATTTTTAAATTGTGAACTAACCTACTTCTTGCAACTTAAAGAGTAAGAACGCTAATTTATACAAAGCATGTACTACATATCTGTTTATTTTTACCGTATTTTTGTTTTTACTTGTAAATCGTATTTTTCGACGTAATTTTAAGGCGACAACAATTTCACTTTGCGTCACGATATGATTCATGTTTTAAGCGTATTACGACGAATAAAAACGTTACTGACGTATGAGAGGTTAAAAAAATCACTATCTCTAAATGGCTATACATTCTCGTATAGCAAAGAGTGTTTTAAGTAATTTAATGAAAATACTTCCCTTCACTTAAAAAGATAAACCAGCCTTGCGATTCTGTAACTCACACAGCGGTTTTCGCATCGGCGGTCGCTCTCAAATCAGTCGTGAAGCAGTCATTTTATGATTTGGCATTCTGATAAACAATAAACTATAAGCTGTTAAAGCGAAAAGTGAGTTACAGAATCGCAAGGCTGGTATATCTTTTTAACACTTAACAACATTCGATCGTTACCCAAATAATACAACAAATTAGAACAAAATATTATATTAGAATTTTTAGTAAGAATTTCCTGAAATAATTTCGCAAATTGATGTTAATAGCTTTATGTTTATTTTGATAATTAGGTTGTGTCAATGAGCTTCAAGGTTGTTGACCTTTTAAAATATTTTTAGTTTATGTTTTGGTAACATAACGGCCATACCGTTATGTTACCTGGGTCACCTCAACCCCTATAGAGGCAAAATCTAGGTATCAAGGAACTTGACAGGATTCGTAATACAAAGGGTTGTGATTCTAGTATCAATTTCAGTCTGTTACCTATTTATTAAAAATGTAATCGAATGCCAGTTAAGACCCAGCCCGACTCTTTAATCCTAATATTAATTTCGATAGAAATAAAAACATTATGTATACTTAAAGAACGTGGTATATTTCTGTTATTGTTCAATAGGAAATGAAGAAAACAAATTTTAACCTGTTTTCAATTTACTTTGATTATTTAGATAATAGTATACAATATTGCTTTTGTTCTTAAATAATAATACTCGAGTATTTAAAATTATATTTATTGTCTTCTTTACGATTATTTATTTCTAATAAACTGTGAACAGTGAGATTCCATTAAAACTACGATAATACTAACTAACTGTTATTCCTTAATATACATTTTCATTTAACTATATTACTGGACAAAATAACTATTTACAAATATTTAAAGTGAATTTAAAATTCCTAAACTGTCTGTGCTTTACAAAATTGTATTTTCATTGAAATATATGTCACTCTCAAATAATATTACATAAACTGATAAACTAACATAAACTATAATACTAAAACGAAAGTCTAAAAGAGAATTAAATCTAAACAAAAAATCTCCAAGCACCTCGATTTTATGAACATCACAAACGTAATCATAAATTTTCTTTACCAGTGTCAAAATCTTCTTTTCGTGTTCCTTATTTAAAAATGGCAAACTGCCATTTTGCATTACTTTGACCAATTTTAAGATTTATTGTTTCTATCCAATTCGGTGGGGGAAGAAGTTGTTCGGCTTGTCATCACGTGGTGGGGGCGTGTTGGGAATATTATTCTGTACTCTGAGAAGCCAGGGGTTGTCTATTCTTTGTGGGGGAGTTGCCTCTCTTTTCTCGGTGCTGCCGGAAGGTGTTAGGTGGAGGAGCGGCAGTCTAGCCTTTGGTATTGGTGATTTTTCAGAATTTGAATGCATTTCGTCTGTAACAAGTAATTTAGCCGTTATTTTGGTTAAAAAATTCACGCTGTTACTTTTGTTGAAGAAAATATGTCTTACTTTTAATTCGTTTAAGAAAAAAGTTTCTACCGGAATACATACATATTTGTCAGAAAAAAAAGCACAAAGTTATAGTATTTTTTAGTTATTCTGAAGTTGAATTGCATTTATAAAGTTGTTGTTATTTAGTTGCAATATTAGCAATTAACCTAAATAAAACCTTGTTTTAGTAATCAATAACAATGATTTTGATACAACCTAATAAGCTAAATTCTATTATTGATAAATTTTGCTTTAATACTAATTAGAAGCCTAATTATTATTAGTATTCAATATTAATTTAAACAAACAATTATATTGCGTTTTACTAAAAACCTATCACAAATCATAATGAAACAAATCCAGTTGCTAAGCACTCAATCAACAGCGAAAAAAATCAATTACAACATTAAAACCGCACTAAATCAATAAAATACACAAAACACTCACTTCCTTCTCGATCTTTCAATGTAAATGATTCTAACCGCGTATTGATAACTTCAACACCGTTTACAAACATTGGAGCTCTTAGCACACTCAACGTTGGCTCGGAAATGTGCGGTCCTCACTTCGGTTCGAAGTTTTATATTGTATCTGAGTCATTTGGCAAGAAAACTCTGAGACTACGTCACTGCAGCACGCTGACGCCAAGCAGTGACGCTTTTGCTAGGATTTACTTGTAGTACACGTGGCTCGAAATGTTACAGCTGTCTTTAAAAAATTAATTGGTTATAATGTAACATTCGTAATTTTTACATTTTCTTCCATTTGGCTCTTTAATTCACTTGTTTAGAAATTGCTGAGGAAGTACAATATGGCGACTAACCCGAAGACTCTGGATTGTAGTTTCGGGTTTTTCCGAATATTTTTTTCATAAACCATAAAAATAAAACGGCAAACGGCTTACCTGATGGTAAGTGTTGCCGCTGCTAACAGTCACATTGTCAGAAGGCTCGCAAGTGCGTTGCCGGTTTTAAGAATTGGTACGCCCTTTTTTCGAAGACACCAAGTCGTATTGGTTCAGAAATACTTCGAGGGGAAGCTGCTTCCACATAGTGGTGGTGCACAGCAAAAACTGCCTTAAGAAATGCTTTGTTGTGGAACGACGGACGGACGTCGAGGTGATACGGATGTAAATTCGTATTCTGCCTTGATGTCCGATGATTATAGATAGCTAGCTATCCTACGGGTCTACCCAAAACCCCGTAAATCGTGTTCATATAATTATTTAAACTGAATCATTTATGAATTTTAATAGTTCACTATTTTACCGAAATATAATTTACAATAATAATAATTTATAATAATTAATTTATATTAATTTATAATTTTTTTTTTATAATTTATAATTTTTAAATAGTTACAATTATTTAATTAAAACTTATAAGGCTTCAAAAGAACGTTCGAGAAATATTCCTTATAAAGCTAGTAAAAACAAAACAAAGAGCAGTTGTGAGTGATAAGAATCGCTAATTCGCTTTTTTTAATCCCCTACATGGGATTAGCAACAAGGAAATTGTCCAATTAGAATTTATTGCTCTTTTCAAGTTTGTCACTAATGGTTTGTTTACAAAATTATAAATATCCCTGAGCAATGCTAATATAAGGTCCATAAAATCACTTACTATATATAGATGAGTCAATCATTATTGTTTTCTGAGTCTAGGCCAACTAATAGAAAACGGGCATTGTTGCGATGTCGGGGTTGAATCCACTTCCTCACGGTTGACAAACGCACGCCACTAAGCTAAACCTGCTCTTGCATTCTAGTAAATAATAATTTTCTGGTAAAGTTGTAAGGTTGGGAATTTTTAAAGTATAATAAAATAGTTTTATAGTAGCTATCATTAAAGAGGATCGCGGATTTTGCTACGAATAGCTTATCGTTATGCAATACACATATTTCCATTATTTCCGTATTATCTTTGTTGTTCTATATTCTTATCAAGGCTAATGTGCTAATTTAATTATCTAGCGAATTTTTCCCATGATAACCATTATCAATATTTTTTTGAAAACATTTTTACAAGGTTATTACGCTTTTAGAAATAAGGTACACAGTTACTCGATTAGCTGTGTAAACTTCTAGTATGTAGAATTTGATTAGATGTATTAAAAAATTAATCGAATTTACTGGTTTAATAATTCGATTTTACCGGCCATTTAAATTAAAAAATAAACAATAGCATTCACCAGCCACTTAGAGATGTCCAGTAGTCATAGAAATATAACATAATTGTTATTATTAGTACGATTAAAGAATAAGTTATGACGTCAATTCATTTATTTTTTATAACGATTACGAGTTGTATATAGGAATTGGATTAAATATGACTCATATATTACGTGTATAATTATATTTTTTTTGTTTTAAAACCACGATTAGTCACATGTCATCATACGTTACAAACCTAATGAATAATTGGTTTCAAAGTGTGTATTATCTCTTAAGCCTTTAAATTTAAATGTAAGGTTAAATTTAAGGTTTAATGATGTAAGTTGTTTTTAGAAATTTTGCTGTTTTCATGACACATGCGCACTAAACACGTCAATCGACATTATTGCATACATTCACGTCTTATACTGCCGTAATGTCATTAGCTAAGTAAGCATATACATAAGTACCTAAAAAAATTACAAGCCAAAAAGTTCACTGCAATTTACGTAGAACTGTGTATGCGTCAGCCATGCACGATATTGATAGCACCGCTTGCGTGAATTCAGAATAATAAAAAACTTATTGTTTTATAGTTTCAAGGAGATATCGCAAATAGGCGACAAGACGCGTGGATATGATAAAACCATTTTAGCGCTCCAACATTTATTAACAGTATGGAGCCATCGAATCGGGTAAGCCAAGGCGACTTGGACACAAAAAATACTCAGCACAAAGTAGAAAAAATATGCTAAACGGATAAGGCACAACTGTATTACTAATCTAGAGTGTTGAACGAATTGTTCGGTAATTAAGTGTAGGGTGCTCTTAACCTTGAGAGGCTAGTAAATTTTCATCGCGATTCACACAAGTCATTAATTTTAATTGTGGTTTCAAAAGGCTTTTACTAAAGAGATTTATGTCTTGAATACGGAATACCCAAATATAATAAAAACGGTGATTCGTAACGGGATTACCCATTCTACCTTTTTTTGTGCTCAATTTTGCGCTAATTCTAACTGCGACAGTATCGGCAAGGTATGAGACAACTATTAGTTTATATATGGTATTAAATTCAGTAAGGTTCTAACTACGAATATATGTATAAAGTAAATACTATCTGTTTATGAAAAAACAGGTCATATTAAAGATCTCATTCCCTATCAATGCAATTACATTTTCTCGTAATTTTGTCGGAATACATTACATAACAACGATAATACCTTTCCATAAGTCACGCGATCGACATTTTTGTAACGTGTAGCTACCAATAGTTATTGATTTATCTTCAGTTATTCAAATACGCGTACACTGTTTACCAAATTCCCTCTTTGACCTAATTCCCTGTATTAGCTAGATATGTAACTATGTCATTGTTATGTAAAAGGCTTATCTTGCCTGCTTCTTTGAGTGTGAAAACTTAGTTAAAGAAATTATGACACACTTGCTGATACCCGCGTCTACGATTACGTAGAATTAAGATTAGTTATACTTCAAGGAATACGGCATTCATAATTATATTAAACAGGTAGCTTTGCAACACAATTTTTTTTACTTTTTTTCGAACACTTATAGAATCCCAATTGCGGATTTCTTTCTTGTTTTACATTATTTGCTCTTTGTAAGTTCAAAAACGGAATTTCATTTCATTAGACGTATTTTACTTTGCATTTTAAAATCGGTCGTTCTTTGACCTAGTGGCCGCGTTGTGTCAATTTGTAATCGTGGTGTCTCGAATACTCATGCTACTCTTATGGGTTTAAATAATTCATGTATTTAAAGGTCTGCCAACGGGCATTACAGTGATACTTATTGTATATATGAATAAGGAACTGCAAACCCTTTATCACTAGCACATATTGCGTAACATATGCTGAGAATTAAAAACATACCAACTTAAATATAATTCGCACAGCGTTATTTTCGTACAAAGAAATTACAAAACATGTCTTTGTCGTAATAAATTCAGTCTTAACGTGCTAATAGAGTTAAATTAAAAATAATCATATAAGCTAAAACTTATGCAAACAATATAATAGAAAAGCGAAAACCTTTTTATGTTAACGTGTATAACCAGTTAGATACAGCGAAACTTTAGAGATATCGCTACCATTCTTTACCTTTTTTGGTTTACAAATGGTTTTTATAGTAATACAATGAATATAAGATTCACTATATTTTACTTAAATCTGTCCCATATATGTGTATAGTATTGGACTAATATAATTTATTTTTACAAAGGCACCTGCAGAGACACGCTCTCCGGGTGTTCAGAACGGCGTAGAGACACCATTTGTCCGACCACCACTCAACAGAGCAGATTCTCGATCATCCCTTTCATCACCATCACCACGACCACTTGGTCCTCAACAAAGGCCCCAATTCTTTCCTGGGGGTCCAGTCACAAATTCACCATTAGGACCTCGACCAGGAGCTCCTACACCTAGAAGTCCACTTTCTACTGGACCAGGGTCACCCTCTGTTCGACCACAGGTGCAACAATACCGTCCTGTTGGTCCTCAGTCAATAGCACCACAACAAGGCCCTCGGCTACAGCAACCTCAATCTCAACCTCAACGACCACCAGTTCCAAATAATTTGCAGTTTGGCCCTAGGCAGCCACCCCAATTTGGTGGTGCTTCCACACCTGAAGGGGTAAGGCCAAATATAAACCCACAGGCAAACGGATCGTTTAGGCAAAATACGCCTTCTGGACAAAACTCAGGTCAAATTTCGAGGCAATCATCACAAAATTCACTAAACATTTCTGATTCTAACACACCTCAAAACAAACCAGCCAATCTGGATAATCAAAATATTAATAATGAAAGTCAACATATCAACAAGATTGAAAGCAATAACGATATGGCTGGTGCAGCAAAAGGGCGTAGTTTCAGCATTTCAGCAGCGCCGGGGGCACCGAGCCCATTTAAAGCGGAAGATGATAGACGTAAATCTGTAAGCGCTGTTAGTGGTCGATACGATGATTTAAATATACGAAACCCTGGCCTGGGACAGATACAAGAGACCGTTGGTAGTAAGGATAATATTCGTGGATCTAAAGAAAGTGTACGATCAGAAGCTTCTAATGACGGAGCTCGGGACATAACTGATCGCCCAGAAACACGTTTAGCTGGATCCAAGATGACAGAATCTTTCATGGGCTCACTATCCAATTTAGCTACAAAGAAAAAAAATGATGACGATGACGATGTTGTTTCACAAAACAAATTGGGTGTGGGCAAGACTGATGGCCAACAAAATAAAACTGATCTCTCTGATCGCTCGCCATCATTAACAAGAAGTGACGATTCGCCAGAGCCCAAAAATGTTTTACAAAATCCTATTTTGCCTAACAAATCACAAAGTGTTACTCCCGAACCACAAAGACCAAAGACACCAAAAATCGAAGTAAAACCAGATATTTTTGAATCTAAAAAAACTATAAGTCCAACTTCCCAGAGATCAGAGTCGAAATCGCCTATGTTGGAATCTAAATCTCCCATACCTGATAATAAATCTCATACGCCATCAAAAAAGAAGCCGATGGACCTAAGTACAAATCAAACGCCAGTTGATTCTAAGAGATCTACGCCGCGAAAAGCAGCATCTGCACCTAAGTCGAGGCCGAAAGGTAATCTTATATTACCTTGTTTTGAAGTGACTCGATGTTATGTTGTAACATAAGTATAGATAAATTTTTCGGTTTATTCAAACATAATATTATTTTGATATAATCGCTCAGTGAATTTTTACAATTTCAGATGGAGACAATGACAGTGGCGTTGATGAATCCACTCAAGGAAATGTAAGTACGCAAGCATATGGTCATCGTTAAAAGATACCTTAATAATTTTAAATCATTCATTTCTTGAAATAAATCTTTTTGTTTCGTTTTTAACTTTTTTGACATATTTTTTGGAAAAATTACATGTCGCAGCATTGTCTAACAACATTTTATACAGCATAAAATTTATTTCCTCAGGACTTAAATGGCTCCCCAGGATCACCAAACAAGCCACTTCCCAGCAAATTGCCAACTAAAGAGAAGTCAAATAGCAGCCTAAAACCAAGCCTTTCTAGATCTTCGAGCAAAAGTGCTACTGCTAAGACACCGGAGACTCCTGTGCCGATTGACAAGAAAAGTGAGTTAATTCTACATTTATGTTCACATAATAATACGAACATAATACTAGTTGGGTATGGCTTAAATACTAATATAGTGATTTAACTAATGAAATATTCTTCCAGAAGTACCGATGAATAAAATACAAGTCGGAAGTGCACCATCACCAAATATTAAAGCTGTAAAGTCCAAGATTGGATCCTTGGAAAACACAACATACAAACCTGGCGGAGGAAAAGTGAAGATCGAAAATCGAAAACTCGATTTTAATAATGCAGCTCCAAAAATTGCAGCTAAGAATGAGGCGTATACTCCTAGTGGTGGCGTAAAAAAGGTAAATTTATTAACGCATGCCGACTTCTAGAAAACTTCACGTGAGTTATGCTCGTTTATGACAGATAGTACTTCTGTAAGGAACGACATTTTCTTTTAAAATGATATAATGGAAGCAAAAGTGGAAATAATAATGAAGTTACGTTCTGAAACATAAACGTGCTACAACCGTCAAAAGGAGAAATCTCAAATAATGGGAAAAGTCTTAGATAACTCATGTTTTCAGATAACGTCAACAAAGCTGGAATGGAATGCCAAATCGAAGATAGGTTCTCTACAAAATACGTCCTACAAACCAGGAGGTGGTGACAAAAAGATAGAAACCGTCAAACTGGACTTCAAAGAAAAAGCTAAACCGAAAGTTGCATCTACTGTTAACATTACTCACAAACCAGGCGGTGGAGCTATCAAGGTAATATAGTTATCGGAGATCTCTACAGTTAAATAGTTGTCGATCTTATTGTCAATTGAGCACTATTTGCCGTTCACTGATGCAAAATTAATTAAAATTATTTCCATAGAATCTTTCAAAATGTGGAGAAAGAAAAGTAAGTCACACAAATTGCTTTAAAGCTTGACGTTTACCTGTGCGCACTATTGGTAATCAATATTTAGTCGTAATTGGACGCCAAAATTGTTTCTAGTTTATAAAATGGGCGTTGCCAAGATGGAGGGCATCGAATAGACCTAAATTTGTTTTTTTGCGCTGTAAGGTCAGTTTGATTCAAGTCTACCATTTCATGGTGGAAATGTTTGAGAATGAAAGTCTCTAGGACTTCAATGAGGCTGTACACCACGCTGAGTCTTGAATTGTTAAAAAGAAAATAAATTGGAATGATTGACACAAACACGGAATATTACATTTTATTTAAAAACTATTTAGTATATATAATTTATTTACGTATATTAAAATGCATAAAGGCAATGCACGCTAGATATTCTACACAAGAGTCAAATTTTTGCTTTTGTGGTTCATACAGACATACATTAAATATATCTCTATATTAAATGTTTTATATCGCCCTACATATATAACAAGATCATTGTTATTCAATAATTATTGCTCACCACACGCATTTTTTTAAAATTTTGTAAACAATACACTCAAAACACCAATTAATTTTACAATTATTTGACATGAATACACTTGAATGTTTTTGCCGTGAGAACAAATTAATATATCTATCTATTATGCACAGCGAAAAAAGGCTTCTAATAACCACTAATATGTATTATATTAATATATGTATGACACTCACCATATATTATTTGCACACGTTTAAACAGATCGAAAACCAAAAGTTGGAATTCAAAGCACAAAGCAAAGTGGGCTCCCTCGACAACGTGAAACACAGACCAGGAGGCGGTGACATCAAAATATTCGACGATAAAGATTACATAAAGCAGGTCGGAGGTCACTCCCCTCTTCCTAGTAGTGGGCAGTCACGGCAGGAGGTGAGACTAGTGTGATGGGTTTCTAGTTTTCTTTTGTCCTTTTTGTCCTAAATTTTCCGTTGGTGGAGGTATCATCTTCATGTAGTTTACATAACGTCAACTTCATTTGTTTCAGCCCGAATATTTGTACACACATTATTGACTCGGTTAAGGTACCATGTGTGGTGTGATTCGTTAACCCTTTTTGGTTTTGGTTTCCAGCTTTTAACTTTGTTTTTGTTTGGTGAAGTTATTAAGACTTATCACTGAATATTGAAATTGATAAGTGTAATTTGGTTTTTCTCTCATAGAGTCCAGTACCGCCGCCGGCGCAGCCTCCAAAGGCGGACGAGAATCTGAATGAGCAACACAGTTAAACAGTGCACGTCGAATCCGATATAAATTTTCAGTCCAAATTCTATACGTTCCGTATAAATACAATATTAATTTTTTAAATGTTTCTAATTTTTCATAGAGCATTTGCTTTCTAGCAAACAAGAGTGCCAATGTAGAACTGTGTGATTTTGATCCAATAAGTTTTAAATTATACATTAGTTTAATATATAGCATCACTAGCACTACATCTGTAAAACTAGTTTTGTGAAACCACAAAATCACCAACAATATTTTTGTATTAAAAGCGAACAAATTGTTTTGTTATTGCACTTCAGTATATTAGAAGCTTAGTCCCCGTTGTGTTAATTATAGTTTTAAGCACTTATGTTGTACCTCTCACGTTGTTCATTGTATTAATAAAAATATTTGATGTAATTTTATTTTATTAGATTTATTATTAGGTCTAAAATGATAAAGTTGATTCTGGAATGGTAATTTACTGAGGTATTTGCTTTGCTTTCGATATTTATCGTTGATCTATGCTGATTACAAATTAAATATTTCGAAATCATCGCATATTGGAGTTTGACTGATCCGAGATAATTTATATGTAGGAATATTTTGTATGTATTTATAATTAATTATAGATTTAGCTGTACTGATTAAATGTTGACGCTTTAAATTCACATTTTCTTTGCTATGTCTAGTTACATTTAAAAATGTAACATTTAAATTAAATAATTAACATTTTGGTCTCTATAACACAAAATATGTATTTAAATTCACTTCCGGTGTCATACTACAATGTATAAAATTAAACGCATTTAGTATTATATAGTCATCTGAAGTAAGCAGAATCAAATACACATTACAGCTACCTATACTAAAATTTGTAATTGTCAAGTTTAATACAAAATAACATATTAATACTCGCGTGTTTTATTTTCTTTCTACACTTTTAGATTCATGTACGCCTGGTACATCAAATATACACATTTATATGACTGGTTTGGGTATATATTATTTCATTTTAAAAGAGACTGAAAATTGTGTAAAAATCTGTTTTTAAACGTATGTAGATTTTTGCTTTTCAAATATTTAGGATATCATTCATAAACGAAACATCGCACCTCGCACTATCTTCTGGATTTTTTGGTAAGTCACGCATATTATTTAAAATTAGATTTCAGGTCCTGACACGAAAGCGCAAGCCTCGTATTATTAGACCTAATCGTGTATAAAAATGACATGACACTGATTAAGAATGTTGGGGTAGCGGATCAGAACTTAGAACTGGCACAATAATTTTGTCCCTGTATAGACTAATTCAAGAACATTACAAGTTAAATAGTGGATAAACATTACGCAAGAAAATTCTACTATACTTAGTCTTTAGAACACCAACATAATACTCTATTTTTAACCGACTTACAAAAAGGAGGAGGAGGTTATTACAAAGCTCATTAATTAATATGAGAGAAAATAATGTTATTTGATTTATACTGCGTATACTGCCTCTGCCTACATCAGAAACGTTTCACTACAAAATCAATTTCGTATCCAAGTAGTTTCTTCATAATCTATAGATAAAAATATGTTTTACCTAGTTTTTATAGTCTATTCCCAATTTCCTATCCAACCTTTACTTATTAAAAGACCCGACAATTTGACTTTTGTTATTACGATTTATTCTAAATATGTATTTATTTTAGAAGTTATAAGTGAGATATAGAAACGGGCAGAAATCGTTAATATTTATTATACTATATATAATATTTCTAGGACGAATACTACATTGAAGATTGGGAAGAGGACCGCCCCCTCTCAAGAAGTCGTTCTGCTCGTTGGTCCCGTACACCTCGTACACCTCGCGCCCTCTCTCCACAAAAGCCGGTAGATGAGAGACTCCTGCGCACCGAGAAGACCCGCAGATCCCTCAGACCTGTGAGCGCGCGTGCCCAGCCACGTTCCGCCTGCTCAAGACGCTCTTCAATTACGCAGCGCCCAGCGTTTACTGTTTATTGAGTGTTAGACGTAACATAATTTTAAAGTGTCAAAGTTTTCGTACACAAATACACTGAAGTAGATTATTACAGCAAGTATTTGTGAGCATAATATTATTAGAGAGAGCAAACAATGCAATACTAGTGCATAATCCTTAATAATTGTTGCCACGGAATAGACGAGTAAACGGTTACAATCAAAGGCCGGCAACGCACCCACAAAAATTGGGTGTCCATGGGCTGCGATGACAGCTCTTTTGGGCTTCCCGTAGGCGTTTGCCCGCTCGTTATATATTTAAAAAAAAAGTATAAATGTCATATCATATTAATAGATTTCGCGGATGTATTTAAATTATATGTTAAAGAGAGGCATTGTTCCTGCCTTTCTACAAAACAGGATCTTTATTTATCTATTCCATAATTAGTTGATCATGTCAGAATTGTTCACACTTCTTGGAATTTACGCTCTTTCACTTCTGTAGCTCCAATGTTTGCTGATTTAGCACATATTTTAATGTTTTTCAAGCGTTTAATGCATATGTTCACAGTAGGTAAACGGAAAATTCATAGGGAATCTTCTAGCCCAATTTATTAGTATAGTAACAATTGTCTTCTTTTTCGCGTGTATCACATTTATCGGCCAGAGCCTAGTGGCTGAAGGCCTTCTAATCACAGATCTACACAAATGGAATTTTCTCTCTATGTGCTCAAAGTCAAAACATCGCGAGGCAACCGGCATGTCTTGATCACAAAAATCAATAACATGTCTCAGACATAGAAAGCTGATCATCTACTTGGGTATACAAAAAAATGATCGAAAAATCTGACACCAAGACCCAATTAGGGTTTTAAATTAAATTTAAAAGAATATTCTTGAAAAATAAAATATCACAATTATCTTGCACGCCCTAATCGCGAAATCACGTGATAAAAAATTCCTGATTATTTTATATAAATATAATAATTTATTTGATAAAGTATTTGCTTTAAAATGTATATCCATTTTAAAATTTTAAAAGCCTCAAAATCTCATCTATATTTTAGATTTGGATTCGTTAACGAGACTACGCTAAGGCTGTGACTCCTGTACTTCAAAATGTATTGGATTTTGAATTTCGGGAGTCACAATTCCTCTCTGAGCCCTCACCCATTTTAGAAACCGAGCTGAATTTAATAGCGTTTTTTTTCGTCAAATAAAAAGGGTTTTATACAATTTTCTAAAATTTACAACAGGTTAATTAATGTTAATATGATATTGCTTTTAGATTTAAAGAAAAAACAGTTTTGTGGCACTTTTGTCTTAACTTTAAGTCAACACTATCTCTTAGCAAATTTGTGTATGTTGTGTAGTTTTCATCTTCAATAAATTATACTCACCAATTTTATATTTTATTTTACCTCGATTTTTCTAAACAATAAAACAACATTTTATTCATATTATATAGTTATTTAATTGGTGTACATGGTTATGCATAATATTCAATTGTTAATTTATTAAATTATGGCACTTAACATAATATCTTTAAATAATACATACACAAATGGATAATGAATCAATGATCGGAACACAGAATTTTCGAAATTAAACTTAATATATTCGGAATTATTTCTCAGTCGTTCGACACTTTCGCTTGACGAAAGTTTCTTTTTATATATTTTTTTTAATTTTATAAGAAAATAAAATTTCAACAAAATAAAAATTATTGATCCCAAATCGCAAATAAAATTACTCAATGAAATTATAAATTAATCTTTTGTACGCAGAGTTCTCACCATTCACCTCGACACCTTAAACGCGCAGGAATTTCTTACTTTCACAACTTATCATTTCATACAAACTGTTAAAAACTTATCACTAAAGAACTTCACTATTTAAATTACGCTAACTTCCAAAGCGTTTATCGCCAATGCAATAGAAGCGAGCTATTATATTTCCACTCTATAGAACTGTGATTTAAGGCATGTTATTAAGCTAATCTATACGGTTACTGGATTGATCGATCTATTTATACATAAGTGGAAGCAATCCGATTAATATGGTTTGATGCAAAGCTCACTCACACAACGACAAACTTCAATACATCCAAAGGCCACAACACATTCAGTCACAAGCGCAGAGTAATGACAATGTTCAATTATATATTACCAAATTCGCACAACATATGCAAGTTAAACTACAATCAACATCCTTAAACTAATTATTGTATAAATTACACTCTATAATACAGTTCTTTTGCCTTTCATACATTTCGCCAAATGTTAGTTCACGTGGCAAACATTTGACGGAATATTTCAAAGGCATGTACAATGATTGTCAAATGACACTCATGTCGTGCCTCTGAGAACGTCGGCAAGAGGTCGGTAAGCTCCAGCCTCGAGAAAGACGCGCTCGCCTACAATTTCGTTCTAAGACACACCAATAATAAACTACAATCGCCAATTTGTGACTCAACAGCACGACGGACTACAAGAGGAACTGTATCGTGCATAAAGGTTTCAATTTTTACCTTTTGATTAATATTTACAAAACTATAAGTATAACTGGAATTTCGAGTACATTTACATTTAGAGTATTATTAAAATTTACATCTAAACCCTTGAGCAATACGTACCAAAAATATCTTTCTCTCAATAGTTGCATATTAAGCAGTGATATGATTGACTATCACAATATTATTATCATATTTGGCGAAAGCGCATGCTAGGCCGGGTGTATTAATGATTCAGTTGAAGATATCTTAAATATCGACACACCGGATCCTTGCAATGTTCAGCATCTGATACAATACACTTAAGTTACGAGGGTCGAATGAACAATGTTGGATGACACAGGATATGAAAATGGATAGGCGCATGCGATCAAGTCGAAAAATGTTATGATCCAACACCGCGTTGTAGAAATATGGACACGAGGAACGGAAATTCGGAAAGGCCATGCGTTTAGTTCCACAACCGAGTTAAAGCCCATATCGACCTAACAGACCCGAACTAGAAAGGAGGGTAAGGTGGAAAGGCCGCATGCTGTTAATGAGAAAGCATCGTTATATCCGCGGTCCGCATATCGACTTGTGCCTGGGAATCAACCGACCCTTACATTATTGCTAAACGAACTAACACCGATACGATAACGTTATGATATAATTTAGACACCAATCTGTTTATCTAAAAATTTAAAAGAGCGTCTTTCCCTCGGCCGGTTCGGAGATTATGTCCCTAGGGTCAACATTCACATCGGGGAAATATTCACCGTCAATATGTCGTTATATATTCCTAAATGCGTTATTCTAGTATCATTAAAGGTAAATATTCCCCCGATTTGCGTTAATATATATTTACAGATGTATATAAGTGCCTTAAACGTAAGACTAGATTTTACTATAGATACATACAATGTGCGAAATCGATTTCAAAAGAATAAATGTGTCTCAGAACGGGGAACTACGGTATATAAAATAATATTGTCATAGATGTCAAGTCAAAATAAATGGTCATTAAATAAAAGAGATTCCAATAAGAATCGTAGAAAATGAAGAAAAAACCTTAAAACGTAGATCCCCGCCCAAAGACCTATTCGAAAGGTAACGTCAATATCTCGTTCCACTTTTACTGTACTAAGATCACAATTATCACACGATTCACTGTTCTGGCTTATTGCACTCGGAGTAGCAGCCGTTTGGCGCTGAATTTGCCTAATTAATGTCTGGCAAGCTTCAGTGGTCGCCAATACGGCTGCCAGTCGCGCTAGGCGGGCCAATATCAGAAGTCCTCTAGGAGCACCGCATCCCTGGGCACGAGGCCCTTCTGATCGCCCCGACAGCACAGTAAGTACTGGTCATCCACCTCCAGGATAAGGCGCAAACGTTCGCCTTCGTTGAACGCCAAATGACCTGAGTCTGAAGGCAGTCGATGCCATAATGTTCGCACGTACCTGTAATTGAGAATTTGATATTTAATCTCACAGTCTCTTAGTTATCGCAGATAATATCACTTTTATTTTATTTATTATTATACTTTTCTTTAGTTTAAGTTCGTATTTTTCTAGTGTTACATGTTTTTTGGTAATTATTTATGCACTTCTAGTGCTTTAACCCTCAGTAGGTATTTATTTTTTATTTATCAAAACAAGGGTTGCCTGGAAGAAGTCTCTTGTTAGCGATAAGACCGCCCTTTGCCTAATAACTTATGTAATCCTGTTTTTTATATATATCTAATAATAATATATGAAGATTTATAAGGGCTTTATAGCTATTAGATAATTTGTTCTGGGCCTAAATTGTGCTGATTGCATTTATTATCAAAACTGGGGCAGACGACAATTAGATAGCATTAAAAGTGGACTACGCGGCCAGTTGAGTAATAAAAATTGTCGTAGGAAATAGATAATAAATACATATAGTATGAAATATATAAGGATTTAAAATTAGTTTAGTTTTTACTTGATATGTATTTTACTGTCATTGCTCTTATTATTAAGTTCCCCCCAAAATTTTAAGACGTCATCATAGACACGTTGATCTGATAAGCACAATGTTTGACTACGTAAGGTTATGAATTATTAATGTTGCATTAATAACATTTCAAAAACGGGCACAATGTAACCTTAAAAACAGAAACGAACGTGAAGTTGAATCCAGTCCAAAAGGCCGGACAGTTTTTGAAGTTATACTTCTTTTGGCGCGTTAGGGAAAAATGATGAGAGTAAATTTCTACGATGCGAAAGAACGCCGTCACAAAAAACCGACACCCTGAAGTTAGCTATAATCAACGTTTTAGTTTTTTTTACAAACGTAGAATAAAATTTTTGAAAAGATTTTTTTATCTTGTTACGCCAAAGAGGTATAACTTCTAACGCGTATACATAAGTACAAACACGTTTTATTTTAATTATAATTGACTGTTTCAATCCGGTGAAGATGTGTATTACTAGCAAGAAAGACTCACTTGTGTTTCTGTTGTGTATGCGCGCGGGCGGCGGAAGATGAGACCGCCCGCCTAGGGGCTGCAGGTGGGGCGGCGCGACCG